GCATTCGCAAGTATCTTGAGATGGAGCATGTTTACCATAAGCTTCCTGAAGTGTTCAGAGCACTTTTCTTCAAAAGAAAGTAATGAATTAAAACTTCCCACAAATGCTCTTTTTTTGGCATGAAATTCGACATTTATAAGCATAAAAATATCTATGATATTAACACCTTCAACAAATTTGACATACGAAGTTTTGAAGCTTGCTGTCAATACAACAAAATAGCATACATATCAAATTGCTTATATATCAACATATGTGTAACTCCATCTATTAAAAAAATCCGCATTATGAACTGGTACACCTAGTAGATGCTGGGCTTTTAATGATATTGCTATACTACTTCTATTGGGAATTGCTATTATTTTTCTGTATCAAGCCATCATTGCCCTAAGGTCTATTTGACTTTAGATTCTGAGTTTTTAACCACTGTGCTCTATTTCTTTCCTCAAAAGTAGTATAATAAGATTTTATGTGATTGTTATGTCAAATTTGTTATCATAAATGGTAGTACAGGATTGGAATTCCATTCATAACAGCCACAGTTTCTAATAAGATCTCTTTTATGCCACTATCTACAACAGAATACTGAACTATGGTGTACCATTTTCTGACACATTAAAATTATTTATGTTCCTGTTTTTCAGTGGATGATTCAGAAGCCACACAAAGCAGCAACATTTTTTGGTTGCATTGGGACAGATAAATTTGGGGAGATCCTGAAGAGAAAAACTGCCGAAGCGCATGTGGATGCTCATTACTATGAGCAGAATGAGCAGCCAACAGGAACTTGTGCTGCATGTATCACTGGTGGCAACAGGTCAGTGTAATTCCCAGGGAAGCCTATACTCACTCGCTATTTCAATACTGGTAAAATCTGAATTCCAATCTAATTTTGGAATTTAGATCTCTTGTTTATAATTGCTTTTAATGTTTGATAAACTCTTCCTTATATCATTTTTTCTTTTTCTTTTAAATTGCCCTTGTTGAACCTGCTGTGGTCTTCATGTGGTATAGTGGAATGAAATTTTTGAGATTATCTAATCTAGCATCTACTCCTTATAATTAGAATCAGAGAAGGAAAACATTTTATTCAATGTCTTATAGCAAGCATTTTGCTAAACTGGGATTAGAAAGAAATGTTCTTTTCACCATATCCTGAGTTTGGATACATGTACATATTCATATGTATTTTTAACATATACAATATTATGTTATATCCAGTCTCATATGAATTAGGTCATCTAAAGCATTTCTGGCTAATAGTCATTCATCCATATTAAACAAATTTAGTCATGGGTAATATACCACTCAAGAAACAACCCATTGCATTTCTATACAATTTTACTTATTAAAAATTCTTCTGTAAGTGACCTTTGAATATATACTTCAGGGCTTCCCATGCATTGGTTGTATTTGTGCCTTTTGCAGCTACATAGAGGTTTTCTTTCAGTACTTTCATACATCGCTGACAATATTGTTACCATATTACTCATCAGCAAGGGAGAAATAAAATAAACTTTTCTAACTGTTATATTCTTAGAATCACCAAAGCTGATCTTTTTTAAATAGTGATTCATTGGATAGTTTATGTTCCTTATAGCTAGAAGTATTTAGTCTGTTCTCTTCCATCTCTTGTCTCCCTTCCTTCCCCACCCTTTTTATTTGCCTCTTTCTCTTCCTTTATTTCTTCCCTTCTCTCTCTTCCCCTTGGTCATTTCCTTTTTTTTAGTTCCTTTTATTTTTGGTCACTCTTTGACCTCCAGAAAATGTATGTTAAGTATCTGACACTATTATGGCAGTAATCATTAAATAAATAAAATATAACTTTCAAAAATAGAGTGCCAGAATCTTCCAAACCTTTCTTATAACTATATTTTTTATGTTTAAAAAGGTTATGATTTTGCCCTGACCGGTTTGGCTCAGTAGATAGAGCATTAGCCTACGGACTGAAGGGTCCTAAGTTTGATTCTGGTCAAGGACATGTACGTTGGTTGCGGGCTCATCCCCAGTGGGGAGTGTGCAGGAGGCAGCTGATCGATGTTTCTCTCTCATCGATATTTCTAGCTCTCTGTCCCTCTCCCTTCCTCTCTGTAAAAAGTCAATAAAATATATATTTTTAAAAGTTATGATTTTAAGGTTTCAATGAATAAACCACTATTGTTCAAACATATTTGAAATATACTTATTTAAACCTTTTCATTTTTTCTTTTTCTAAAACCAACATTAATATGCAGGTGCAAAGACAGAAATGGGTCAAGTTTTGCCTCTGATACCACTCAAGCTAGAGAAAAATTGAGAAATTATTTTTGTATGCTAAAGAGCAGTATGATAATATTAGGTTTTCCAGATGTTAACAGCTTGATTTATATACTGATATTATGGTTATGATGCTCAGTATTGTGCAGATAATTTTGGAAATTTGAAACTGAGGGAAACCCTCCCTATCTAATTCATTATCCAAATTGTGGAACCTAACATATTTGGATAAATTGTTTTAGATAGGGGTGGTAACTCTCAGTACCACTATCCAAAACGCAGGAATCAAAGAGTTTAGGTAATGCAATAATTTTCTTAATCCAAGTTCTCATTCTCCAAACTCTGAACCAAACACATTTGGATAGTAAGAATACTTGTATTTTTCTTTTGGAAAAACTGAGTAGTTTCCTATCAAAGAGTAGTGTTATTATCAAAATAGAGTTTAGTAATTGATACCACAAGTGTTTGCTTTTATTTAGTAACCATTTTTGTCACAATTTTGCTAAATATATGATTACCTAAATATTCTGTATAAATCAGGATTAATTATTCTGATTTTGTAGTATAGTTATTTGCATATAAATATATTGATGCATATTACTCTTATTTTCATTCATCTAATTGAACATAAACAAATATTCTCAGTAGTCAGTTGGCATATGAACAGAAATATGTTTTGGAAGAGAATTGATTTACTTTTTTCTTAACAAGAGGAACCAATCATATAACCACAATCTTAAGTAATGAGATGATATTTTATTTGTGAGGATTTTTGTACAGTAACTACTATTGATTACAAAAGTGGAAAACTGCCGGGCTGCTGTGGCTCATTGGTTGAGCATCAACCTATGAACCAGGAGGTCACATACACACACACACACACACACACACACACACATATATTTAAAAATGAACAAATAAAAAAGTGAAAAACTGTCAAGTTATTAAAATTCTGAGGAGGAAAAATATTTTTATTAATTTCATATGTAATGTAAGTAATTATTAAGTTTAATTGTTGAGCAATAATAAAAAGCTCTATGAGGCACTTGTAGCAAGATTTTAAATGTAGTATCCTGCTTAGATTTTTCTACTGCAAAACTGGACCAGGGCACGGAGGTTTCAACTCTAGAAACTAATTTAAATTTATTCCAGTCGTTAACATTTAATGCTTGGCAAATTAATTTCACATAGTAAATATAGTCTTTATATGTATTTTGTAAAATTAATCCCATACTTGGCTTTTAAAGCATTAGGTTAAAGAAGAAATGTATAGTGTATTGATACTTAAAAACTGAAGTTTTTATTTGCATATTTTTTATGCATAATGGCATTATAGCTTTGTTTCATAACTGCATTTTGAACTATTAAAATGTAGACAGTAGATAATCTTAGCACTTAAATATTAAAAAGAAACTTAAATGCCAGTTTCTCAAAATACCAGGTGGTATTTAGAACAAGGATTAATATCTCTGTTTATCTCACAGGCAACATAGAAGCCTCAGGAGTTCTCAAAACAAAATTCATTTTATTTACATTTATTAAAATCAATATACAACAGTTTTGAAGAAATAAAATATAAGTTGAAAAAATATTGTTAATTGACTGTATAGAAGTATATGACAAGTTTGCAATAAAAGGAATAAGTTGTATATCTGGGGCAAAAAAACTTACTTTGCTTTTTGTTGTTGTTTTAGGTCCCTTGTAGCTAATCTTGCTGCTGCCAATTGTTATAAAAAAGAAAAACATCTTGATATGGAGAAAAATTGGATGTTAGTAGAAAAGGCAAGAGTTTATTATATAGCAGTAAGTATTTACCTAATTCAAATTTCCGGTACATGTTTACACTATAAATTATAGTTGTTAGCTGATGTAAATTTTTAAATAATTGTCTTTTACTTATACTGCAAATTACTCATCTCAAAGCATATGTTCACTATTTAACATGCAGAATAGTAATATGATCATTCTATGGTAACATAATTTGTATTATTTACCTTCAAGTCTACCTCTTTTGGGATACATTATACATAGATATTTCTTAACCAAGTATCAAATTCCTGTAAAATCTGTTTCTTAAGGTCTTTTGAAGTAATTCTGTGAATTTACATTTTATATTTTTAGGCTACTTCTGAATAATGCATGCATTGTATGGAGAAATATTAGTATTCTAAATATTCACTGCAAACAGTTTGAGCTTATTTACCTAAAAAATCCTAATTGCTATTTATTCCATAGTAATTATCATGATACCTTTTAATTTAATATTTCAGAAATATTGATTGTGACAAATCTTTTAAATCTAGGAATAAGGGCAGCATGTAATTAGAATTATTAAGTCTTCTGACATGAAAGTAATTGGTTAAGAATTTATTTCCAAGATAAGACTGATATAAAAATCCTCCTGAATTATTCACCCCACGAATATTTTGTTTTTATATAATCTGAGTTAAATGTGGCTGACCAAAAATAAGTAGATACCTTTGAAAAATTAAAAGTACCTCATAAGCATATAATATATGGTTTTGACATAACAGCTTCTGCCACTCACTACCTGATCTGTGAAACTGCTGGTAACACGTGTAAAAAATTGATTATCTAATAGGAACGTGCTTATTGAAAATATAATTATTTCTTTCAGTCTAGTGTTAATGTCTCCTACAGCATGTTTATGTGCACTGCTGTAGGCTTTACAAGGTTGTTATTGATTCCAGTGTATAGCAAACCCTACCCCTTTATAAATGTCAAATAAATGCTTACATTGAGAGGATTATTTAGAGGAAAGACATTTTACCTCTTGTGCCAGTATATGAGAAAAACATTTCAAAACTAAAAAATTTTCTCTTTTAATCACCTTCTATTTCATTTTATTTTGCAAAATGTTCTCTTTTTTTTGTTAATGTCTAGGTAGCGTATTTTTGTAGTGAAGGTTTTTAGGGAGATTTATTAAGTATTTCAAACCACCTTACATTTGAAAGTCTGATTTTCAAAGAGTACTTGATTTAAATTGTGACATTAATTATGTTATATTATTTATATTGACTATGATGTATGACAATATATTCTGATGGAAAAGTATTTTAACTGACAGTTACAATTGTCTCTATTTAAATGTATAGTAATTGGACCCCAGATCATGAACTAACGTGGAAACAACTCATGTTTTAACAGTTATGCACATGGAAGCCATATTGCCAAGTTTGAGTGAATGGGGAATTTTTATAGCAGCATGGACCTAACTTGCAAACAACTCATAGTTTCAGCAATTATGTACTATAATGCATCTAGCTAACTTAGGGTGAATGAAATTTTTGTAAGAGTATTAACTATTTATACAAGTGCTATTTTGTATAAAGTATGGAGTGATTAGTTTTGGACAAGTTAATAAAGAAAATAGAATTATTCTTGAAACATGTGTAGTGTATTAGCCAGAAACAAATATCAGAATGGATTCTGGTTGATATCTCTGATGATAGCTGTTAGCCTTTAGCTTCTATTTCAACAATTTCATAAAAAGAATGCTCTTTTACATTGCCAGGTAAACCTATAAATTTCTCAGAGTTTGGCTATTTTAAAATACTTCCGAAAATAGTAGACATATATTAGATACCTGGGATGCTGTTACTGTTGGTGGACGTTCAACAGATATTTATTTTGTTAACAACTAAGAGCATAATTTTTATTTATTAAAATCTGTGAAATATCTTGTGAAATGTAATATTATTTTCATGTAGACATTCTGCAGTTCTTTTAAATCTTTAATTCCCATTGAGCACAGAGCATCCAGTTTAGTCTTTTCTTAGCCTATTTTCAAAACAAAATTTTTGATTGAGTAGGTGTAGCTGTACTTAACCAAATAGATGGACTCCTTCCTACTTTTAAGTTCCATAGAATCAGCAGTCTTCTCACATCATCATTTTAAACTCCTGAGGTTTTAACAAGTTGAATTTCTGGGAACCCTTTAATTACAAAAAGTTCTTGATCTAAGGAAGCAACTCAGTATGTCTATTCAACAAGTTTCCAAAATTAAGACATCTGTCTGCATTATATAAAACTAGAGGCCTGGTGCACAAAATTCGTGCACTCGGGGGAGGGGGTTATACCTCAGCCAGGACTGCGCCCTCTTGCAGTCTGAGACACTCAGGGGATGTCCGCCTGCCATCAGTCAGACATCCCTCTTGCAATCTGGGACTCTTGCAGTACAGGACCCCTCACTCCTTACCGCCCACCTGCCGTGGAGGCGAGAGAGGCTCCTGCCACTGCCGCTATGCTCACCAGCAGTGTGTCCGGCTCAGGGCTTCTGGCTGAGCAGCGCTCCCCCTGTGGGATAGCACTGAACTGACCACCAGGGGGCAGCTCCTGCTCTGAGCATCTGCCCCCTGGTGGAGCAGCTCCTGCATAGCAACCGGTTGTTCCACCATTGGGTCGATTTGCATGTTAGGGTTTTATTATACAGGATAAACCAGATCTACATATTCAACAATTCTTCTTCCCACTATTCCAAAAATTAGTAGTGAGCATTAAGATAATTCAAAACCTTAATCATTTTCTTTGTCACATGATGTAGTGAAGCTAAAATGCAGAGTTCACATCAAAAACTTTCCTGATTTAAAAAAAAAACTGAAATGGAATGTGCTCCATTCAACATTCTTCTTTGGTTTAAAATAAAGTGTTGGCATCTTTTTTTTTTCCTTCATTTTTTTTTTGTACCTTTATAACAAGTACACTATTTATGGCATGTAAACTCAGTTTTTTTCATGTTTAAACCAAATTCCTTGTTAATTGGTGATTAAGGATTACTAGTTATGTGATAGGTAATTACATTTTTAAAAATATAAATCTCGCCGAAACAGGTTTGGCTCAGTGGATAGAGCGTCGGCTTGTGGACTGAAGGGTCCAGGTTCGATTCCGATCAAGGGCATGTACCTGGGTTGCGGGCACATCCCCAGTAGATGTGCAGGAGGCAGCTGATTGATGTTTCTCTCTCATCGATGTTTCTAACTATCTCCCTTCCTCTCTGTAAAAAATCAAAATATATTTAAATATATATATAAATCTCAAGATTCTCTTCATCTGAGCAGCAGATTGGTGTGTGTGTGTGTGTGTGTGTGTGTGTGTGTGTGTGTGTATATTTTCTTGTCTTCCAGGAAATATTTCTTATAATAGCCCCCTAAGACTACGATATTTAGGAAAGTTTTATAAACAAGGTAGGAAATTAGAGACATTACTTTTTCTAAACTTTGTATTTCCTTGTTAAGGCAATATTTATGTGCTATGAAAAATAAGAAAATTAGCCCTGGTTGGTGTGGCTAAGTTAGTTGTGCATTGAAAGGTTGCCGGTTTGATTCTCAGTCAGGGCATGTGATTTTCAATCCCTGGTAGGGGGTGTGCAGGAGGTAGCTGTTTAATGTTTCATTCTCACCTCAATGTTTCATTTTTCTCTCTCTCCCTCTCCCTTCCTCTCTTTCTAAAAAACAATAAAAATCTTAAACAAAAAAAAACATATGAAAATTAGCACTGTGTTTCAGCCTCCTCTTGATTTGGAATAGTTATAATTTTATTTTTGCATTTTCAGTTTTTAAACACTTGTATTCTGTTCTATAACCATAATTCTTACAGCCTCAATTCTACATTTAAATGAGTTAAATGCTTTCCAACTAATTACCCCCATTTCTTTATTGTTTATTTTTATTACCCTCAATTAGCTGCATTTTATCATCAGTTTTTCCCCAAGGAAGGACTCAGAGCTCCTGTGTTCCTGAGTTTTTATTTACTTTTTGTTGCTTTTATATAGGAACTAGTGTCCTGGTACATGGATTCATGCACATTGAAAGGAAATTAATTAGAAGAAATATTTTAATATCTCTATTTGCCCTTTCTCTATAATAGAAATGTCAACCAAATTCACAATCGACAATGACAGATTGAAACACACATGTGCATTTGGCACCAGCTAAAGCTTTATATGTATTGCGCATGTGTGAGTCAACTTAGCCTTTTATATCTATAGAATACATTTGCTTAATTAAACCTGCTTTCTGATTTACCTAAACTTTTTCCAGCCCAGTGAAGCACCCCAACTTCTCTTTCAGGTAATCGTCCACAACACAGAAGTAAATATCCACATGAATCACATTGTTATTGTAGATCATGTAGGGAGAACAAAGGGTAAAATATTTAACTGTAGCAGTGTTTGACTATATTCTGCGCTTGAAAAAACCTGAGGTCATTTTCAGGTTCCACCATTTCTTACTTCTTTTCAGTTGGGTCAGGTTTCTAAGTGTTCTAAATCTCCGTTTTCTGTCTAATGAAAAGAAAATAGGATTCCACCGAGTCTCCTATCTACCTACTCCAGGACTTCTGTGAGGACCAAATGAGATGAGGCACAGGAAAACATTTCACAGACATTTGGTTAAAATGTAAAATGTTTCCACCTGGCTATAAAGCAAGTCAGGTTCCTGGGCTGAAGAAACTACAAGGAGGCTCGTCATGGCTAGGGAGAGGAAGCTGGGAGTTGCTATGTGACATCATTACCCGGCACCCACAGCCACCATTTATGGGTTGGTCTGGCTCTGGGCCGTATTTTATGCCATAGGGTCTTGGCAGCATTGGCTGCAATTTGGTGGGTTGTGGCTCTGGGCTGGTGGTGGGGCCTGTGTCCCACTTGAGAGAAGCCTAGTGTTGGTTTGTCCGTGCCAGATCCGTGGTGATGTTTATTTTTAAATGGCCAGTGCGTGTCATGGCAGCTCCTGCATTGAGCGTCTGCCCCCTGGTGGTCACTGTGCGTCATAGCTACTGGACAGATG